CTGACCTTATATAGAATTCCAATACTTTTAGCCAATTTAGTAGAAATATAGTCGATATGATACTTCCATGTAATATTTTCATCAATGTAAATGCCTAAAAATCTTGTGACCGACTCCTTTTTTATTTCAATTTTATCAATAAAAAGTTTAGGCAATTTATTTGGTAAAAAACGCTTTTTTGCAAGAGAGTGGAAAAGGATCCACTTTGTTTTGTCAATGTTTAAAGTTAACTTGTTGCACTTAAACCAGTTGGAGATCTGATTGAGTTCTTTATTCATATTTAAAAAAAGCTCATAAATGCCACTGTTTGACAGAAATAAATTAGTATCGTCCGCAAAAATTATACTCATAAGGTTAGAAGCTTTATTTAAATCATTTATATAAACTAAAAACAAAAGTGGGCCTAGAATAGAACCCTGTGGAACATCACATTTTATGTCAATTAATTTTTCATTTTGAAAATAATCTCCATAGAAAACAAATTGTTTTCTATTTTCCAAGTAACTTTGATACCATTTTATTAATTTACCATTAATTCCGTAAAATTTGAGTTTTTTAAGTAGAATTTTGTGATCGACCGTGTCGAATGCTTTTGATAGGTCAATGAAAATACCTAATGTATATTGTGATCTATCAAATGAATCGGAGATTTCACGAATGAACTGTGTAATGGCTTGTTCAGTTGAACAATTTTTTTTAAAACCGAATTGATTTTTATATAGAAGTTTATTTAGATTAAGGTAATTGTATGTTCTATTGTATATAATTCTTTCTAAAATTTTTGAGAAAGTTGAAAGAACTGAGATAGGGCGATAATTACTAATATTTGATTTTTTACCGTTTTTGTATATAGGAGTTACTTTAGCTATTTTTAATTGGTCAGGGAATACACCTTGCTGTATAGATGCCCTAAAGACTTTATAAAGAATACACTTTAAGTTTTCAAAGCAATCTATGACTATGTTGCCATTTATTTCGTCCGCACCCGTAGCTTTGTTTCTTTTGAGAGATTTGTAAGCTCTCTCAAACTCATCAAAAGATAAGTCAGAATGTAAATTATCTGTAAAAAGCGAATTATTTATAGGCTCTAGGAAATCACTAAAATTTTTTTCTGTAATAGGGATCTTGTTTGCCAATTTGGTTCCTATGTCAATGAAATATTTATTAAACTCGTTTGCAATTTCGTTTGGTTCATATATATTTGTTTTATTTATTTTAATTACTTTAGGAAGAGAGTTTGAATTTGTTTTTTGTTTTCCTGTTTTTTTTTACCTGGGATAATTGTAAATGGAGGCCCACCAGATGCTTTAGCAAGTCGAATAGTTCGTTCAGGGCATAATTCTTTATTGGAAATAACTTGAGATAACAATTTATTTGGTTGCTTTTGGATCTTTCGCTGCTAAAGATTGAAAGTTTTCCCTGAACTTTATTTGAGAGCATTGGTTGAGCAGAGTTTTTCCTAAAGGATAGAGACATGTGTTGCAACGTACATTTAGTTCTTTCTCAATGGTGGTTTGATCTTCAAGAGGATGTTTTTCTTGCAGCTTTGAACGACCACTTTGGCAGATTAGTTAACACGTCGTACCTCTTGTTTCAGGGCTCACTTGTATTGAATAGAAATTATACAAAGGAGGGAGTATAACTTTTTTCCCCTCTTGTTTTTTGCGCAAAATTGTTCTAGACGATTTGCAGGGTCATTGTGGTACCCGAGAATCACTAAAATTGATCTTTGTCTCGTACGGTTTGCATATTTGATCTGCTTGGAAAGCAGTAAGCTGTCTTAAACATTTTTTCCGACAAAGCAAGCACACAAATTTGCAATTTTCATCTTGAACTTTGTTTTATTTGCCATTGTGGCTAATCACTAAATTCAACTTTACTAAATCAAGCAATACCTTATACAAAATTAACCTGAATTTGCATTGGTTAACAATCCATTAACATACCTACAAATATAAGTAATTTCAAATAAGTAAAATCAAGGAAAAAAATTCCTTAAATTACAAGGAAATAATTCTTATATAATTCTTTCCTTAAAAGATAACTATTTAAATTAATGACACGTATCATATTTATTAACAATTTAGATCAATTTAGATGAGATTTTATTTAATGGCACATTTCTATAAAGATTTTTTCTGCTCTTTAAAGGTCTATTCTCCCTTTCATAAGATGTTCCTCTAACTGGCCCTCCAACCTTTTTATAGGTCAGTTATTTTAGTAATCTTATTTAAATTTTATTTTAGTAACCTTTTTTATCTAGGTATCTTTATAAAAGCTTTTCAACCATTTTTTAAGATTTTCATGCATCTTGACAGTAGTTTATTCCTTAGAAAATGCTGACATTTTTACGCAATGCATAAGTCAAATCAAACCACGCTTTAAATAGCAAGTCAATATTTTGGTCTATAAAACAAAAATGGTAGTTGTAGTAATAAAATAATTCTAACAACAATTCTTGGATATACCAAGAATTGTTGTTATAATTGCTTTATGGCTACAACTACTACTTTCATTTTTTTCATAAAATAATAGTTACATGAGAGTTCTACATGTATTGTTGTAACATAGTAGAACTCTCATGTAACTATTATTTTGAAAATAATCACGGAATATCGGAGTAATCATTAACGTTTTGGGGTATAAGTAGCAAAAAACTGACTAAATATAAACTAAAACTGCCATAAATATTTAACTAGTTAACTAATCCGGCTGAAATTTGATTTAGAGTTTGGTGCGGTCATACGCTACATTTGAAAAAATTTTATCAAATTATATAAAGTGGTTCTCATTTTATCGGTGTTTTTCTTGTCGCACTATAAAGTCAAAATTTCACTTAATTGGAACATTTGAAGTAAATTTTTTTCTGCGGACAAAATTTGCATCACAGGGTAGCTTGATGTTGACCATATAAGTGGCGTTCTTGGATCAGCTAAGTTAGCATTGTCAAGATTCTTGGTAACCATGGTGATTTAGCACGCTGTCATCAGCGTCACTTTCAAGGGTTCAAACCCACCCTTTAGCATTATACAGTTTTTAAATTTTTTTAATCTTGCCCTATAATTTATTGCAAGAAATATATATAGCATATATTATCAAAAAAAACTTTTAATTGTTAAAATAAAGTTTTAAAGTTTTATCGTATTATACATATATTATACTTAATCGTTTCATATACGTCCGCATACTTAATTTATCCTTGAGGCAAGATTGATAAGACTGTATTTTTAAAGAAATGACCTTTCCAAACTAAATTTGAAATTAAACAAAAACTAAAAACTTTAACATTGGGCCCATAATACCTTACATACTACCTATAAATACCTATTTAATTTCAGGTAAAGATATGGAATATTAATTTTATTGTTATAACCATTGAAAATTAGGTCACGGAACATAAGTTTTCAGCGACACAAGTTTTGAATACGTATAACTAAAAATTTAGGATTCTACTAACAATCTCTTTACTCAAAATTAAATAGATATTTATAGGTAGTATGTAAGGTACTTCCAATTAAGTTTTCAAAGGTTGTTCCTTTTGAAAAACAAGACTTTTCAATTCTGCCCCTACAGACGTTTACCGTTACATTTGTTTGAACGTAACGCTATCCAAATAGAATTTTTTACATTTACGTAATTTTAAATTACATATTATTATTACATATATACTTGCATATCCGTAGTAAAGTTCTCTATTTAATTACGGATATGTAATAATCTATATTTTGGCTTAATGGCTGCCAAGAACTCCGTGAAATAGGCACGAGTGGGCTCTACTATTAAGTTCAGCAATAAAATATAAGATCTAATATATAATTACCCAATTAGTTTATCTTATGAAACATTTTAATATCAGTTTAAGCGTAATTAAAAGAAAATAATTAATAAAAAATATATATATTTTATTATATATTTGTATTTAAATAAGTTACAATTTATTTAATTGACAAATATATAATAAATAATTTTTTTTATTTGTCTGATTTCGAATGAATATAATTAATCGTAATAGTTTTGTTTTTTAAACAGTCACTATATTATTTATATCAAAATAAGAAAAATTTATATTTGTAAATAGTTGCTAAATACGGGCGCCCCTGAATTTAATGTTTATTAAGTATGCAAAAAGTATTTATTTTTTTTAGCTTCTTCTCTTCACTTTTCAAAGTAAATAAAATTTATATGTGTAAATGGTGGCTAAAAACGGGGGCCCCTAAATTTACTAGTTTATATATATATATATATATATATATATATATATATATATATATATATATATATATATATATATATATATATATATATATATATATATATATATATATATATATATATATATATATATATATATATATATATTCATATTCATAAACAAGACAAATTTTCTAATTTTTAAAAGCATTTTTGAAAAAAAAAAAACAATACATGCTTCGACTAACACAATCATTCTCAGTTAAAATTAAATATTTAGAAATAAAATACCTATAAGGGTGTTAAAAAAAAAAACAATACAAAATATAATTATTCTTGTACAAACTAATAATAATTTAATTACAAAAATACAATATAATCAGATAAAAAGTTTGTCATACAAAAGAAATAGGAAATAACAAAAGAATAGGTTAATAAGATACGCAATATGTATAAAAAATAGCAGCTTAACAGAAAGTGTCATTTGTACATGGTTAACCTATTTATTCATACCAGGTTTTAACCAATCTATAAACAAACTTTCTTTAAGTTTTAGCTCAAATTTTTTAGATGCCGAATCTAACGCAAAGAAACACTTGTCATTTATTTGCATGAAACAATTTTCATTAGCATGGAGAAGTTTATATATGTGAGACTTTTTGTCTCTTTTGTAATGTTCATATATCCGGGTCTTGAGATGGCGAGTAGTTTCGCCTATATAACAGGAGTCGCATCCTGCACATAGGAATGTATACACCACAAACGATTTGAACTCTAGAGGAATAGGATCTTTAGAAGAAAAGAATTTAGAAATTTGCAGTGAGGTAAATACTAATTTAATATTTGCTGAACTGCAATAACTTTTAACAATTGAATTCAGTCTTTTTTTAGTTGAATCAGATATTTTTGCCAAAAACGGCAGTTTAAAATATGAGAAAGGTTCTTTGATTTTTGTTTGTGGTGGATGATTTGAATTAATCTTGTTTAAATACAAGTTATATATTTTTGAAATGAGCCAAGATGGGTAAATTCTTCTTTGAAATACTTTAAAGAGATCGTTTATGTCAGAGTGAAACCCAAGTTTAGTATTATTAATTTTAAACGGTCTATCGATTAAGCATTTGATTAGACTAACTCTGTACAAAAATGGAGTGAAACTATAAAAATTAGTGTAAAGACCAGAATAGGTTTTTTTATGAAAAACACTAGTGGTAACTGAAGAATTAGTTTTGTGTAGAGTTACGTCTAAAAAAGATATTTTTAAATTTACTTCTTGTTCCATAGTAAAAGAAATAGAATTGTGTCTACTATTTATATATCTAAGAAAAAGATGTGTGTCGTTTTCTGAGCGGAAAGCAGCACAAATGTTATCAATGTATCTTTTATAGAAAAATGATATGACTTTTTAACTGATTTTATTGAATTTTGTAATTATATTATTATTAGTTTGTGCAAAAATTATTATATTTTGTTTAGTTGTTGTTTTTTTTTACACCTTTATATTTATTTTAACAAATTTTAAATATTTAATTTTAACGGTAGATGACTAGTGTTAGTCGAAAAATGTTTTTGATTAAAAAAACGGTTTTACAAATTAGAAAATTTGTCTTGTTTATGAAAATATTTACATTTTTTGTTGTTTAAAAGAAACTTTGGTTATATATATATATATATATATATATATATATATATATATATATATATATATATATATATATATATATATATATATATATATATATATATATATATATATATATATATATATATATATATATATATATATATATATATATATATATATATATATATATATATATATATATATTACTTCAAAATAAACTATTAGTAATTTAATCTGAAACATAATACGTTATTTTGCTATTTTGAAAGTTTCACCTGTTAATTTTTTTCTAATTTAGAAAACGAAACTGCTGTGCTCACACACTGGCAATGTTTTATGTATGAAAATTATTAAACTTTTGCTGTTCCGTGAACCATGCAAGCCTTTCTATGAAATTATGATGATTTTTGTTTATTTATTTTGCTACGTATTTGGTTGCAGTTTTTTTAATGTTTACGGATACAATTTAGGTAAAGAAATGATTTTTTTATAAATAAATTGACTTTATAAAAGTCTTTAGTGAAAAAACTAGCAAGTTTAGCACTACTTAAAAGAGAAATCTTAAATTAGCTAACATCATCCTAAAGTATCTTACATCATCATAAAGCAGTTAACATCATCAAAAAGTTGCTAACGTCAGCAACGTAAGTGCTAATATAGCCACCATAGTAATGTTTGTTTGTTTTTGTTTAAAAAAAAGTTTAAGGTTACGGAAAATTCAGCAATTTTATAAACACGCATTTTTTGTAGAGTTTAATAAAGATAAAATTTCCAACACAAGAGTTATTTATTAATAAAACAATTTTCTGTACAGAAATGATGAGCTGTGTTTTAAGCTCCGCTTGAGTAAAAGAGCCGGAGATCTTTGAATAAAAACTAATGGCTGCGATAAAAAGCTGAACCATTAAGTTTTATCTGATTTTTATCGTAGCCGATATATCTTAATTTTAATAAAATCAGTTGAAATGCGACTGACAATCACAACAAACAATTCATTTAGGTCAACAGTAAACTTGTTTTCTTGTAAGGTTGTTTAGAAGTATGAAAAAAACTTTATAAAATACTTAAAAAATCTTTAGACTCAAAAATATCTCTTTGTGCATACATAAACGTTTATATATATGTTCATATACATATGTTCAGTTTGTGCATATATAGATTTGCGCTTAAAGATGTTTTTGTAACTAGTTTGCATTTAACAAGATTTCCATCTGTGAAATTTTACTTTTAATTTGCGTTTTTAAATTTGTTTAAAATTTCCTTTTAATAATCGAAAAAGTCACTCAGGTTCTATAGCATTTTTGAAAAAAAATTATAGAATTTTGGACAAACACAAAATTCATAACCTAAAATTTTTTAAACTAATACTTTTTAAGTTATTATTATTAAATATTTTAGCACATAATTTTTTTTTTTATAATAATATTTTATTAAAAAATCTATTACTTTTAACATACATTTTTTTAAATGCCCAAGAGTGTAATAACTTCATGAAGAATGTACAATGTTATGTATGTACAATACTATGTACAAAGATGTACAAAAAAAAATAAAAAGAATGTACAATACTATGTACAATATTATAGCAATATACGAAATTTCACACTTGTTTATTATTTATTTATTTTGATTTATTTATTATTTTTTATTTAAAACATTTAATTTTCGAAAATAATACTTAATATAAAATTGTGATATTTATATAATTTTGCCATTGCAATATTTATTTTTATTAAAAATCAGATAGAAGAGTGCAACCCATGTTTTTTCGGTTAAAACGTTACGAGGATGTTGACGATACTAGAAGTGAAGCTATGCCTGAAAATTATCAAACCAGGTCAAAGCTAGTCAATATTCCAAGTTTTATAAATAACTTAAAAAGCCCACTAAAACCGCCGCAAACTAGGAATGGACTTTTTGATTTATATAGAACAGATCCTGGTCATCTAGATACGGAACCATTTGGATTAAATTCGGAAGAGCCTGATTTGTTAAATATCAATAACATGCCATCTTTTTTAGATTTTAATGAAGAAAATGCAAATAAAGTAAATAATCGCATAGAAAGTTATTCAAGAAATCCCCTTCAATTTAATCTTGTAAATAAACTACAAAACTTACATATCAATGACTATGTCCAGTCAAGCATGGAAGATCCAAAAACTCATTTGTTTAATAGCATGCTCTTAAATACGCAACACTCCAGAGAAAGTTTCCCTTTGAATCAGTTAGAACAAAACCAAATGTCTTTGAATAACTATTTAGTTAGTCCTACATATTCATCCTCTTCGGAAAGTGATCGCTATATAAATAGTAATTCGATAGATGATAATTCAATGCATAACAGCGTCATAAGTCCTATAGTTCAAAAACCTCAACAAGGTGATCAAATTTATCCATCGCGCGATTTATGGTCGTTAATGCATGAAAGAAAATCCATTGATCCGCTAGTAAAAGATACCAACGAAGTTGATAAAGAATTCAGTAACGCAGATAACAAAAAAGAAATGACATTAAATGATAGAACATCGTACTTTAATACAAAGAATGATGCTTCTCTTTTACAAAATATAATAAAGACAAAAAGCAACGAAAAAGATTATAAACGAGTGTTTGATAATGAAACAATAGTCGAATATATTATTGACGACGATAAAATTATAAACAAAACTAATGATTTAACCCTTTTGAGCGATAATCACGGAGAATCAACAAACGATACATTAGAATTTAAAAACTTATTAGAAGAAGCTCGAAAAACTAAAGAACAAATAGACATTCTTAGTTCTAAACTGGAAAAAGATCCAGAAGATGCCAATAAAGTTTCTAACGTTTCAAAGAAAAGCAAAACCGATGAAGAAAGTTTAAAAAATGATATAAACGTTGAAAGAGGTGTTCGGCAATTGCTGGTAAAACATTTAATACAAGTACAAATTGAAAATCACAGAAAAGAAGAAGCTTTGGAAACTCTTTTAAGACATTTTCCAGTAAGCACAAGCGATTTAAAAACATGGAACATGACCAAAGGAGCCCTTAAAGCCATTATTAAAGCAAAGTTAACTTTACTAGAACCAGTTGTGAAAACAAAAAAAGCTGTTTAATCTTCAAGATCAAATAGTTAATTGTATAACATTGATCTTTTATTTAGTTCAGCCTTTTTTACAAGTTTATTACGATTGATCAACGATGTGGTTCATTCTATTGACCAATCACAATTGGTCGTAGTTTATTTTACCATGACAAACCAATAATCATAGTATTTATTCATTTTAGCATGCAATAATAAAAAAGTTATGATAAATAAATAAGTTATAATTAAATTGCTTAATAACATAAATCATTTTCACATTAGCTACAAGTAGTAAACTTTGTGCCCTGGCCAGAGAGTCTTTTTTAGATTTTTAAAAAAGTAAACTTTGGCAATGCCTCTTACCCCTTTTTCCCATTCGGAGGTTCAGTAATGTCTACGAATCTGAATTCCCAGTTGGACGCGTAATCCTGTGGTCATCTCATGAATGTCCAGACGTCCGTAAGACGTTTGAAAGACATCCCAAGGATGACGCATGCCCAAGGGATTAGTCTAAGTAAAATATAACAAATAACACGCTAACAAGTTTCTTAAAAGACAAAAAGAGGTATACAAATAATAAAACATGGCAGTTGTCAATTTAAAAATACAAAATTTATACAGTGATGCATAAATAACGTTATGGTTTAGGGTACGTCAAATTTATGTTTTTTAATATTGCTAAACTTTTTTAAATTTGTTAATTAAAAAGTTTTTCATTAAATAAATCATAACTTTACTTATGCACCAATACGTAATAATTAACGTTTTTTTTTATCAAAAAATGCGAACTAATAAATGGTTGTACCTACTAATGGGGCGCATATAAAAAACAAAGTTGTGGGTTTGATAGAGGGGAGAATAATAGAGAATGTAAGGGGAGAAACCTTTCCATTTTACTCTTCACTTGAAAAAACACATTTTTACTGAGCAAAAGTTTTTTTTTATGAAACTATCAAGTGTTTATTTAACTTATACTCAGTGAAAAATATTTTTTCAGAATAAAGTTAAAATAAATAAGGTGGTATTGTGATTTATTCTCCTTCAGCTAATTACCTTAAAAAAGGCCATATACCAAGGCCTGCAAAGAAAGGTTCAGCTCATGAAAGAGCATCCTCACACGCTTCGACAGACTAAGAGTAAGTGAGTCTAAGCAGAACGAAGAATAGTCGAGTGAAAGTCAGAAGAAATCGATTTAGAAAAATAATATAAAGAAAGCGAAAAGAAATTGCATTGGATGTTAAAATGTCTAAAGTATCTTATTAATTGATTAAAACTAATGAATGTGCTTGATTTGATATTTGATAAAATGAATAAGGTAATTTTTATCCCTTTATTTTTATCCATAACTTTATTTTTCACAAATCGCAAATATAAACTTAAAATATGGCTCATATTGTTGGGTTATCTAATATATAGTGTAAAACAAAGATTAAATATGGAAAAATGAAAATACAAAGAAATACAATAATAAAAGAAAATAATAAGTTATCAAAATAAAGAGAAAAAGGTTTTTTAGCGATTACAACTGTAAATACAGCAGTTATTGTTAGAAAATTCGATAAACTTGAAGCAGACACGATAAACAACTCAGTAAATATTGTTAGTGTTCTCGATGTAGTTAAAAACGGTTCTTCATCTTTTTATGTAGATTTTAACATTTTACTCGTCATTGCTATAGAACAAAAGAAAATATTTATTTACGCAGTCCTTGTCTGGTACGCATTTTATATTTATTTTAATAAAACGATAGCCGATACTATTACAAAAATAATTGGAGGTAAAAAAATTTATGTGAACAGGAGGTAAAAAAAAGTTATGTGAATAGTTAATAAAAAAATTTATTTTTAAAATGGGTATTTCCAAAATAACAATCTCTTTAAATTTAAGTGAAATATTTTAATTTTATTGTTTATTTTATTGTTTAATTTAATTTTTAGCCGAAATTAAAAAAAAAAAAAAAATAGTTCAATAATTTTATCATTATTATTATTATCTTTAAATTCTTTATTATCCAGGCTATTCAAAAACATAAAGGTTTTTTACTATCAGTTGAATGAAAATTCAATAACCGTTTCCAAAAGCGTTTCTTTCTTACAAAACTGCAATAGTTTTTTATTTTTGTATAAATTTATAATTATACGCATATAAATGTATAGATTTTTTTAATTAACAAATATTATACTATAGAGTTTGATTTGAAATAATATTTTTATTAATTGTATATTTGTATTGATTCTAATGTTTGAAATTAGCATAAAATTAAAGATTTTTCTTTAATTTCAACTTTTTTCTTTAAGTCCGCATGCATGGACTTTTTTCTTAAACTAAAGTCCGCATGCATGGACTTGATAAATAAGATTTTATTAAATCTTAATATACATATATTTTTGAAAAATTAGCAGCACTAATTTTATTATTAACTATTATTATTCAAACCAATATTAAAGCTCCTAAAACATTCCTACTTTATGTTATCAAAATTACTACCTAACGAACACGGGGAAGTACAAAAAACGTACAATGAACGTTAAAACGGAACGTCTCGGACGCTTTCTAAACTGATTCTAGATTTAGGACGTCTAATCTAGAATCAGTTTAAGATGTTCTCAAAACGTCGTAAAAAAACTTAAAGAAGACTTTTCGCATAAGCGTAGTTATACAAAGTTGGTCTAGAAAATATAAACTTTTAAACTTTCAAAAGACGTTCTAAATGTCTTTTGAACGCTCAAAAGACATTTGTTGCACAATGAGCGTATTTCAGCAATCGCAGAATTCGTAGAGTTTTGGGGACAAAAATTTAACTTTCATAAAACATAACAGAAACGGCAGCCTTATTATTTAGGGGTATATAGGGGTGTATATAGGGGTGTATATAGGGGTGTATACAGGGGTAATAGGGGTGTCTTATTATTTAAAACAAATAAAACACAAAATTAAAAGTGTACACAAGATTAAAACATATTTGAAATTACAGATCTAAAAAATATCATAAAAACTGTTGCCGTAGTTTAGTTTTTCACACTCACCTACGCCTTTTCTATCCAGCTCTCTTTTCAGGATATTTCCAACGCAGTTTTCTAGTTCTTACTTGGGCATGATCTCTGCATATTAAAAAATATTTATTCAAGATTTATAGAATAAAAAATAAAGAATATAATAAAGATTCAATCAAGTTTATACAAATGTGAAAGCTAACTGAACTATTATTATGTAATAAGTAATTATATTTTAACAAAAAAAAAGACAATTTATTAGGCCGGGTGAATAAAAATAAGCAATTTAAACAAAAACTTTATCAGTTTTGCTCCACGTCAAGTTAAGCAATTTATTCAGTAATAGACGATATTCGAAATTAATTTTAAAAGGCGAGAAATATTTTTCCGTGCGTTTTTACATAAAAAAAGTAGATATAAACAATGCGAATTGGAAATAAGTGATAAGATTAGTTATTAAGATATCTAATATCTAATAAGTTATTAAAAATTAGTTATTAAGATATCTAATAACAACTTTGCAATTTTTAAAAATTTGCTTTTAAAACAAGAATAATATATATATATATATATATATATATATATATATATATATATATATATTGTGTGTGTGTGTGTGTGTGTGTGTGTGTGTGTGTGTGTGTGTGTGTGTGTGTGTGTGTGTGTGTGTGTGTGTGTGTGTGTGTGTGTGTGTGTGTGTGTGTGTGTGTGTGTGTGTGTGTGTGTGTGTGTGTGTGTGTGTGTGTAGAAGGAAAAACTTTAGGTAACAAATGAAAAAAACTATTCAAACTTAAATTTATTTAAGTTTAACTAACAAATATATTTTACTCATCTAAGTTTGAATAATTTTTTTAATTTGTTATCCGGCATTTTTCTTTTACACACACACATACACACACACATATATACACACACAATATATACATACTATATATATATATATATATATATATATATATATATATATATATATATATATATATATATATATATATATATATATATATATACATACATAATACATACATATACACAATATATACATACTATATATATATATATATATATATATATATATATATATATATATATATATATATATATATATATATATATATATATATATATAGTATATACATATTTTATATAATTCATTACTTATAAGACAAAATGTTTTTAATCTTCCAATAACTTGTTCCACAAGAATTCTAATTTTAGCAATTGAACTTGTTTTCTTAACTTCAAAAGGTGTCATTTGTGATGTTCCTCGCTGACCAGGTGGTACAGTAAAAAATAAATGTTGAGCAGTGCATTCATCATGCAAATAAACCCTTTGTCTAACATAACTATAGAAAAAGGAGATAATAAATCAAGAAAACCACAATCCATAATTAACGCTTTGTCGGAATTGCGACTGGTATAACCTTCTGATATAAACAATAAAAGAATTAGGAGCAACACCTATTAAAAACTTTAAAGTATTGTGGTGTTTATATTCAGACTAAGTAACACTTTACAATTCCAAATTTCTTAGGTTTGTATGAAAATTTCTGAACATTCAATAATAGCTGCCAAATTTTTATATTTTTTAAATCATAAAGGGCTTGTTGCATTTAACGTGCCAAGGTCTGGTACAAATATAAGATGCTTACAAACTTCTGCTAATGTTCTTATCCAAGAATGAAATATTTTGGAACATGTGCAAATAGAAATATTAAAAAAAAAACGACTAGCAAGATCTTTGTTAAATGATCCTAATCGAAGTTTCATTAAAGTCAGCAGAAACTTATCTTGTGAACATAATTTTCTTGCACGTCGTACTTTTTTTAGTGTTTCACTGACATTTTTTTTAACAGAAACAGAATTAAATTGTTTGTTAACATAAGTGCAAATAAAGTCATGCAATTTCTTAAATAACTCTAAAGAACTAAGATTTGTATAGAACTTTACATTACTGTTTGATAGAAGTTTCTTATATAAAGATATAGGCTTAGTTGGTTGCATTACAATTTTGTTTTGAAGTTTAATACTTTTTTTAACTTATTAATTTCTAAATAACAGTTGATA